TATGTTTTATTAGTGTACAAGATAGCTGTCAATGGACAAAGATGCTCCTTTGGTTATTTTAATGGGGAGAACTTTTAAATTAGGTAAAGGGGTATTCCTCAAAAAGGAGTAAATAAATGTTAAATTGGCAAAATTGAAGTAAATTTTAAAAACTCACTAAATACTTTCATATGAGTTATGATACGTAGTTGGTCAAAATTACCCCTAAAGCTTGGCCATCCCTACTGTCGTTGACAGACTGTCAGGTCGTCACCGTCGAAGCTGCGAATTGCACCACTACTGCAGATCTGGACGTCGCCGTCACCGTAGATCTGGATCGGCATCAGAGCTTTGCCATCGCCACTGTTGGACTGCTCACTAGCACATGGCTGGTCCCGCTACCAACATAGTGACTTTGGTTATGCAATGAAATTATATATTAGGAAGACAAATTTGGAACAAAAATCCTATTCAAGTACTCCAATCCATATAAAGTTTACCAACTCGTATTTAAACTGACATAGGTTACATACCAACTTTAAACTTTCCATTCAGTAAGAATTTAAGCAACAATTTATGGAAATAGTGAAAAAACAAAACTAACATAGGTTACCAACTTTAAACTTTCCATTCAAGTAGTGTACGATTCATTGATAAAGTTATAGGCCAACTCGACATGAAATCATTTTTGACATTTGTCTCTCTCTAAAGGAATAGAATGTTATTGAAAGCGCTCGACGGATAGCAATATCAATTAATCACGTCATATGATATGAATTGATATTTGATAATATGAATTTAATTTCTAGCCAACCCCAGGAGTCCAGAATTTTTTGAGACTAAGATTTAAATGTTTCTGTACCCATCAATCATCATATATTGGTCTTACAATACTCGTGGAATATATAATTAGTGGTAAAAGGTACAAAGTTAGTCATAATTAAAATTTGAGATAATAGCTCTAAATAGGACTAAATTAATCCCTAAATGCACAAATGGAATTATGTTATTTATCTTCCCCAAATAGGACTAAAATATACTCTATCTTCCTATTCTACCATTACCACAACTTAATAGAATAATCATAGAGTTTAATGCACCAAATCCCCATGTGATATGGAAATTCGGCGCATTAACCATCGTGTCCTTGTATTTTAATTAATTATGAGCAAAATCATTCTATGAACAAATTAATTCATTTGTCAAATCAAAAAAAAATGATTAACATTTTTGTATGATTTAGAGATTTTGACATATTTATTTGCATATTCAATCGTAATATTAGGAAAAGTGATTTCAAAATCATTAAATTTATTCATAAAAGGGGTTCTGTGCACGATTAATTAAAACACAAGGGGGTTTGATGTATTTTTCAAATATTTGGGCTAATGCGCTGAATTTCTATATCACGAGGGGGTTTGGCGCAATAAACTCGATAATCATATTTTAATTTGTACTAGTAATACATACAAAAATAATAAAAACGATTTAAATTATACAAAAAAAATGTAAAAAAAAATAAAAAAATCTAAAATATTTTTAAAAAAATACGAAAAATCATAAAAACAAAAAAAATCTTAAAACATTAAAAACTTTAAAAATAAATCAAAAATAGATAAAACATCTTAAAAAATATAAAAAATATACGAAGGCTTTTCCCATAGTCTCGGTTGCTGCCCAACAACTTTATCTTTGATCGGCTAAAACTATCATTTTGGGTAAAAACTGCCATTTTTCTTTGAAAATGCTATGAAGATGACATTTTTAGTCTTAAAATACCATATTTTTCTCAAAAACTGCCATCAAGATGGCAGTTCTGACACATGTTGACATTTTTTTAAGGTGATCGGAGCTGGTGGTGCCGTGAAGGTTGTTGAGGCGGCAACATAGGCCTGCATTTTTTTTTTTTTACATTATTTATTTATTTTATTTTTATTTTTAAGTTTTTTATTTTATAAATTTTTAGTTTTCAATTTTTTTTATTAATTTTAAATAATTTTTATTTCGTGTTTTTTTTCATTTTTATTATAAATAAAGTTATGCTTATTAGTTAATATTTTAATTGTTAATGAAATATGAATTGTATTAAAACAAAGAAAGGTATAATTGGAAAGCTGGATCCTATTTAGGGAATTTTTAAGTTATGGTCCTATTTTGGCAAATAAAGTTTCATTTAGTCCTATTCGGGGAATTCTCCCTTAAAATTTTCTTTAATTGTCTTGTGAGTAATAATAAGATATATTACCCGAAATAGGACTATAACAGTTTGAAAATTTCAAAATAAGACTGCCATGTTTTTATTTCTAAAATAGGACTAATTACTGTCATGTTTTGGCAGTACCAGACTTCAAACATGTCAGTGTTTTTTAAACATGACAGTAATTAGTCCTATTTTGGGAATAAAAAACATGACAATCCTATTTTAGAATTTTGAAATTGTTTTAGTCATATTTCGAGAACTTTCCCTAATAATACCACGTATTTCAATGACATTTCCAATGAGGTAAACATATATTCTCACAACCTAGGTTATTTTTTCATGTTTATTCATCTAAACGAGCACAACAATATTTCATATATGTCGTTATGGGTGTTAGAAAAATGAGTGGTCCACCTACAACCTTGGGTTGACTTTAGGTCAATTGACTCTTTTTCCAACTAATTATACTGTAACAAACTTATCTTCCTAACAAATACTCAAACATGCATGCAGGTTCCCCCACCCTTCATTAATTATTTCTTCTTCAATTCTGAATTCGTCATATCTCTCGATCATTAACATGCATGCATGCCAATTCAATTTACTGTTCTTGATTTCTTATTAATACTTTACCAATAATTACTATATATTTACTTAGATTTGCTTCTAATTCAACCACTTCCTATCATCCTAGCTAGCTAATCCCTTCAACTAATTAAATACCTATATAATAATACCCATTTCTGGCATGGAGTTCTCTCCCCCATTGGTTCCGGATATGAATTTGATTAAGGTACGTATTATACTTAATTTTGATAATAATATAATTTTCATGACTTAATTGGTATATATATACATATATTCATACACAACACCGTGGGCATGGGCACATTAATTTTTGTTTAAGACGATATGTATAATGGAGGTCGCCCTAGTACTAATGCAAATTGATGAATTGAACAAGACCAAGTTTCATTTGACAAGCATGCATGATATGATTTTAGTTCCAACGTTTTAATATGAAAATAATCTACTACGTATTTTATTAGGATTAAATAGGTGGTATTTTTGGAATAAAACACGCTACATACGTATTTGTTATGCATATTTGTGAGCTTAATCTATTTTTAGTCATGTTTGGGTGATTCCTTTTGTTTGCATGTTTTATTTTTGAAATGTTAAATTACTTTTACTCGTGTATAATGTTCCGTAATACGTACTCCCCTTGTACCGCTAAAATTATCTCATTTTTCATTTTTTTGGTAATTAAACATCACTAAGATTGTCACATATCAAATTTGTTAAAGTTTGTGTGACTCTAAATCATTTTTTATTTTATCTTTACTTTAATTATCAATTCAATATCAATCACATAAACTCATTTTTTCTAATAATCGTGTCACGCAGTCACGGTGTCACTTACCTTTGTTCCAATGTTAGTGAGACGAGGTACTAGTTAAACATGGATATCAAAGATTCTCAAAGAGAAACTTAGATCAGGCTACCAAAATATATGGGACGAATTCAATACGGAGTATTTTAGTTTGGATGCAAACGTGCTTGTGAGCAGAAAGTGAGAAACGTCCAAATTGAAGTTTAAACAAGTTTTTTTTTTTTTTTTGCGGTAGTTTTATTGTACATAAATATGCATGAAACGTGATATTATGCCTAATGTTATTGTAGGTTAGTTGGTAATAAATGGTCTATTGATTTTTGCTTTGGCGATTAACCTTCAAAGAAAACATGAATCATGACGGATGAGTGTGAGATGCGAGCCCAAATTCAGTAAAAACCTTTATTTATATGTTCATATTTACACTTTTGTAGATCAACAACTATATATGAATACTCATATTTGTTAGCCCTATCTAAATTCAATAAATTAATTTGTTAGCTACGTCCTTGTGCAAACGAGATGAATTTCTTGTACTCTAACGTGCATATGAGAATAAAGAGCTTTTTGTAAGATGTGGGATAAATCTAAACCTGTTTTCATTTGGAATGATTTGAGTCTCATCACCAGACTTAACCTCATGTTTTGGTTAATATTTGACTTTGCACCACATTTTTAAAATCATTAATTTTGCACCTCATCAGTCCAAAAAATGTGAAGGAGAGAGGTGCAAAATCAAATAATTTTATAGCGAATTAGGGTGCATATATCAATGGTTTTTAAAATAAAGTGCAAAATCAAATACCACCTAAAACCTGAGGTGCAAAGTCAAATTCTCGATTTTAGATTTTACACATATAATCAGATTTTAACAAATCAGACCACACAAGTTCAGGTCAGATTAGAAAATTTTAATTCATAATTTGGTATAACATCTTTTTTTATTCTTGTGCTATTCATTAGGGAGTATATATTACTAGTATTCATGTATAGCCAATTGTTGCTTAGGTTCCCTATATATGTGGGTACAATTAAGCATGCTAGGCTCTGTATTTGCCGACTCATCACCGTTTGTTTCTCACCGTGTTTCTAGGATGATGTTTTTATTTAAGGTATGTGGTGAATAATTATATATATATATATATATAAGTGATTATTATTGTAATGTAACTAACTAACTTATTAACCTCCAAATTGAAACCCAACCTTTCAATTCTTTTCTTTCAATCCTTCCTTAATCACATGCCTAATTGAGCTTCAAACCCATATACGCACGTTGCCTCTAATATATAATCTTCTTCTGCAATTTCGTCTAATATATTATGGTAAGCAAGTTTCTAGTTTCCTCAGCTTGTAAAAATGGTAGGGATGATTAGTGCGTTTTATTTGTCTTTAACGCTTTATGAAAATGTATATATGTTTGTATAGTATATCATGATCGAAAAAGGTAAACTTTTCATCAATATCATTAACAATGGCTTTTTTTATCGTCATTATGACAAAATCATGATTCTTCTTTTTTTAATTGAGTTGAAGAGAGATTCGATCATGTTTTTTATGAAAGAGATGTTTAGTCAAGGGCACAAGCAATAATCATAATTAAATTCATGATGATCATAATCGATTATCTTGTATAATTGTTTAAATTGTCTCTTTATATTTATTCATGAATATTACATGTAATAATGGTGTTTCTTATCGTGATATAATGGAATATATTTAGCTTTTTCATGGTGGATGCATATAATTCGATTCCTTGATTCATTTACAGGCTGGCGGGATATTAGTTTGGAATGAATGACAATAACATGACATCTAGTTTTAGTTAGATAAAATAGAATCATTATATATTTTCAAAAAAAGTGTCTCAAATGTTATTATGAGTATATATAGTGTTAGGATGATATAAGTATAATCACTATATTTAAAATTTAAAGTCATACTTTCTGCAAATTAAATAACCTTTATTGTCATAAATACACAATTTCTTTGGAAGAATTTCCTACAACATGTGTGCATAGATTATTAGAATAGAAACTGCTCAATATATCACTAAAATATACTCGAAGTTCAAAGGTGGGATTAATTATGATTTACTCCGTATTTCGTAAATAGGACTTATTTAATCCTATTAAATGAATATATTGATTAAACCTTTATTGTCTTCATAGTTCTATTCATGAACTTTATAGTTATTTTAGTCATATTTAGGGAATTTTCTCTCAACAGAATAACAAGTCAAATGAGCTGTCAACTACGTCTGAATATTGGCGGGTACCGTTTTTAATTGGAAGTCCGTTTATCATATACGTATATCTATTTTTGCTCTATCAAATCAAAACATATATAAAAAAATCTAATGAATAAAGGGAATTTTGATAATTAAATGAGCCAGTTTAATTTAATTACTATGGAGTATGTAACTTAATTACGTAGTACAAGCTAAATGAGGTACTTGAATGTTTTTAGCATGTAATAACTTTTATAAGCCACAAACAAATGACATGCTTTTCCCATTGTGCGGTTTTCTTGTGCGGGCACTAGTCAGAATAATGTTACTTGGTCTATATATCTCATTTGTCTGCCATGCATATATACGTTCAATTTTCTCACTTACTCTTCCCTTTTCCTTCAACTTTTATTCCTTTTCCATCATTTTGACCACTTCTCTCTTTTGTGGTTCGTCCGAACCGCGAGCCTCGTTTTTTATACGGTCAAACTATTTTATCATCACAAAACCTCTCAGTTGTGGATATATTTTCCTGTACGTAAGACCTTTTTATACACAATTATTGAGGCCACACACACATATAGTTATAGAGATTTGTTCGTGACAAGAGCTCCTCATCAAAACTTTTGTACAGAATTCATCGTTTGAGGTAGTTCCCGGTGGAATTTCTTGATGATGTTTTGTGAGAATGTTCTTCATGAAGTTTGAATTATGTATACAAAATTTCAGTTTACGATTCCATCGAGACATCAGTTAGATAAATTATTGAAAATCACCGCTCATTTATATATAAAAAGCGATGTTCTTTTTAATAATTTATTTGATCCACTTCTCGATTGAATTTTAAGCTGAAATTTTATGGACATAATTTGCACTTCATGAAGAACATTCTCAAAAAAACATCATAAATTTCCACAAGAAACTACCTCAAACGGTGAATTCCTGAAAGAGTACTACACATGTTAATAATTCCAAAGTAGGAGTATTATATCCTTAAATATGTGAGTAATTGCTATTAAGCTTAAAAAATATTGTCATTACAATACCTGTTCTTATTTAGATACAAGTAATACACAAAAGTTTATATTCCTCTTTAGGATCATTTCTTTATATTTGTATACTCCAGATTGCATGGGGAGATTCGGAGGAAGACATAATAATACTCCTCAAAATCGCTCTTTTAGACATCATCATCTTCGCATTATTTATTTACAACAATTTACATATTATCCTTATTGTTTAGTTGATTGATTGATTTATGTATTTATATATTTTTTGTGTTAATATAATGTAGGATGAAATTGCAAGCTCTATGAGTGCACAAATCTTGGAGTTCAGCGAGTCTGAATTGTTTCCAGAAACCTTACAGGTTTCCGAAGTGGGGTCCAGCTCCAACTGCGGTTACGAGGAGCACTCGTCGTACTCCACGAATCTCCCGCCCACCCCCGACATGCATACGTTCAGCGGCGGCGGGTGCGGCGGCGAGACGAAGGACATCATCGCCACCGTAACCGAAACGCCGAACTCCGCCGCCGTGGATAACAACCACCTCTCCATCGTGTTCGACACGCGCGACGACATCGGCAACGATATATCGGCGTCCATCGACTTCGGCGGCGCAGAGAACTTCTCCCTCCCGCCGCAGTTCCTCAACCACCCTGCCAACAACCTCGACCAGTTCGACATGTCTTCATTCGACAACAACCAGGTCGCCGTAGGGCAACAGTACCCGCCGGAAAATCAGATGATGCAGCTCATGGCGCCGCCGCAGATGGTGTACGACGAGGAATGCCTTCCTTCCGTTCCTCCGTACTTGCATCTGGCGTCTTCTTCGCCTTCTTGTTCGTTTCTTGATCCGAATTTGTGCGGATACCTCCCGGGGAATCTCAACCCCGGCGCCTTGTCCGCTGATAATTCCGGCGTCTTCTCCGGCGGCGGCTTTTTTCTTGGAGGGGAGTTGACTTCGTCTCAAGACCTGGATTTTCAGGGAGATAATAATCGACTGTTCTGCCCTGATAACATTCCACGTGTTTATAACTGCCACAGTGACCAGTTTCAGGTAATTTGTTAATTACTCCGTACATGTTAATGTTTTTTTAATTAAGAACAAATAAACTTTTTAAAACTTTATCCAGTAACATACAAGTGGGTTTTAAGAAATTGCTCCCAATAATAAGAGTAAAAATGAACAAAGTGCACATAAAAATTATAATATTTCACCAATTTGAGTAAATGAGTCATTTTTATTTCGGTTTTGACTCTTTTTTTATATTTTAATCTTATTTCAATTTTTTTCTCTATATTTTAATCTTGTTTCAAACTTTTCCTCTATATTCTCTATATTTTCAAACAGAACAACTAATAATACTATGTATGAAAATTAAATACTTCGTATACAATAAGAGCAAAACATGTACTAAATTTAAGAATATGATTGATTATATTTTGTTCTCTATATAATTAACTATTTAGTCCTTAAGAGGATAAAGTGCAGCAGTTAAAAGTTCCTCTTTTAGAAGAACATATATTCTATTAAAAAAGAATGATACTTTTATTTAAGAAAATCGATAATGATTTAGTGACTTAATTAAATCCTGTTTAATTAAGATAAATATCTCAAAAATGTTCGGTGTACTTTTTTAAATGTACTCGTAATTGCTAAAATAAAAATGGGTCGAAATTGAACATTCTTAAACATAGTCAAACATGGTATATTCTTATTAGATAGATGAGTAGTTATTTTGTAGTGGGCGATAATAATAAATTAGAATACGGCATCATTTTGTGAGAAAGGATGATAATTGAATTACAAATTAAGCTTAATTGAGTACTGAGTAATTGATTAATTATATTAATTTTGATTATGAAGACGCTAAACAGTGAGAATCAGCATTTGGTTAGTGGAGGTGGTGGGAGCTCAACAGGTTTGACATCTGACATCACATGCTTGGAGGATACAACCTTCAAGGTAGGCAAGCTTTCTGTTGAAGAAAGGAAGGAGAAGATCCACAGATACTTAAAGAAGAAGAATGAGAGAAATTTTAGTAAGAAAATCAAGGTATTTGACTGGTTCTATATGGATTTCACTTTCCTGTTTTTTTTTTTTTGGTAAACTCAAATTAAAACATAATTTTAGAACCATTAAATATTGTGCATGATGTTTGGAGTTTTAAAATCATCATGTTCACTTGTACTTATGAGTACTAGCTTTTGTTATTCATTACCCAACATATTTTCTAAATTAAACCTATTAAAATCACAAAGAATAAAAAGAAAACCATAGCAATATCAAACGAGCCTTAAATTATCATTATTGATTATACTTTACTCAGTGATCTAAAAGTACATTGTTGCTCAAATTGTCGAATGAAGTTGACCAATAACTTAAGTATGAAGTTTGCCAAACTTTTTGGATATGAATGTATATAATTAATAAAAAAAATTAGGATAATACTTTGATTTTGTTTAGGTGACTTTGCACCTCATTTTCAAAATTATTAATGTATGCATCCATCACCCAAAAAATAATGAAGGTGTGAGATGTAAAGTCAAATAATTTTCTAGTGAATTGAGGTGCATATATATAATGATTTTTGAAAATATGATTTAAAATCAAATATAATCAAAATATGGGATGCAAAGTCAAACTTTTCTACAAAAATTTGTTCATATAATTAAAAATAATAGTGAGTAATAGGAAATTGCATTAAATAGGAGCAAAAAAGTTTCAATACCTAAATATGACTGTTATGTTTTTATTTTCTAAATAGACGTAACTACTTTCATATTTTGACATTACTAGATTTTAAATATGACAATATTTTTCAAGTTCGACAGTAACTACTCCTATTTAAAATTAAAAACGCAACACTATTTCCCCAATATGTTGTTGTATGTATGTTTTTCTCTTTGTATGAGCAAGTCACTCCTACTTGGGAGTATGTGTGTATGTTTGGATGATTTTTATAGGAGTAAGTCATTTCTATTAAACACTATTAATTTCCATAAGGATTCCTCTCCTATCCTAGATATGTACTTTGGGTGATTTTTTTATTATAAATTTCTATATATATATACTTAAATATATAACTAAAGTAGTTAATGACACGAAATCTACAATTCAAATTGCAGTATGCATGCAGAAAAACACTAGCCGACAGCAGACCAAGGGTGAGGGGAAGATTTGCCAAGAATGACGATTTTGGTGATATGGCAACGAGATCTCTATCGTCCATGGGCAGCCAAGAAGATGATCCAATGGTTGACATGACATCAGTAACCACAAGACATAATTTCCTCTACGACCCTAATTACCCCACGGCGTTCTCTCAGGGCACCGGCGCCGGCGGCCGGAGTTTCAACTCCAATTGCCTGCCGCCGTCGGGAGCCGGCCCCTACGACATGTGCAACACTTTGTTCTTCGCCGATGCTAACATGCAACGATGATTTAATTAACTTTTGATCATTATTAGCTGGCCGTAATATGGTGATTAGATCTTCAATTATGGAGGGCGGGGTGATTGCAGCTCAACACGTGTCCTCGTATGTACATACCATGTCAGCAGATTTTTCGGAGTGATTAATGTAGCAACACTTATACTATGATTATGGATACGAGATGAATATAACTTCCTTGGATTTCGTATCATTTAGACCATGGTTTAGCACTAATGTTATAATGTATGCAATTTGATTATACATTCACGTGTATAATAAATTAATAATGACTCAAATAATTTTTCATACTACGTACGGAGTATATATTTAATTTATACACTCACAAATTTACACCTACTAGTGTATATACTTGCACATCAAATTATATACTAGTAGTAGTAATTAGTATATCCTATGTAGATTGTAGAGTATATATGCATGTTGTTGTGAGGTTATAATTGGTCATTAAGAATCCTCCTTGTAGTTGAAAGTTTGTCATTTTCATCTATTGTTGTGGATAAGGCCTAAGGGATCCAAATCTATATGCTTGAATAAAACATAGTGATCATGGACATCTTAACAATTTAATTTTAGAGTAAATATTTGTAAATGGCTCTAACGATGACTATTGACTAATGGGTTAATTAGCAAAATAGGACTAAAAGTCACTCACTTTGCACAAATAGGACAAAAAAATAAACTATGTTTTCATAGGACTGATTATATGTGTCTTGGAAAAACACACCCTTACAGTCATTGAAATGTTTTAATTCATAATAAAATAATAGAAAATAATAATAATTCGTAAAAAATACTAAAAATACTCCAGTCCGGTTGGGTCGTGTGGAGGAAGGACGGCTATAGTAACCTTCTGTCGCTCCTTCTCCTCCTCCTCTTAAGCCGTCTGCATAACGAGGGCCATCTCCTCGTCCTCTATGACCTGCTCAAACTCCCCGGCTTCGGCCTCGACGATGAGCTGATTCTGGACTTCAACGGCAACCTCCATATCATTTCCAGCCGATGGGTGCTCATTAGAAGACTCCACATCGGAGATGCTTTCCGCCTCAACCGAAGGCTCCCCCGAGATATCCTGGGAGTCGCTTTGCGAAGACATTTCCAAATACTAGAGGTCGAAGGGTTTTGAAAGAGAAGATTTGCAAAGAGTTCTAAAAGCCCTAAACACTAGATCTAAGGGCAAGGAAGCTAAACTTACTAAAAAGGCAAGGAACAGGTGAGGAACTGACCTGGGAAGCTGAGTTCAATCGAAAGGCTCTTTCTCTCTCTAGAAAAATTTCAGCAGAGTTTCGCTACAACAAATCGCACAAGAGGGATGAGGTCGGGCAAGGGGTATTTATAGCCTTCCCATTCCGAGCTTGGGCCGAAAACTGGGGCCCCGGTTGGAAAAGTCATCATTACAAACCGCCGCCTCAGCCAACTGGTGACACCCGCCCGCGGATCGGACAGCCAACGAACACGCGCCACGTGGAAGCCCTAACAAGCGGTCATATTCCAACGACTATTTTCTGAAAACCCGGAGTCCCCCCCCCCCCCCCCCCCCCGGTTGGCACCCTTCGTGCAACAATTGAGCCAGCCCTCGGGCTATCACATTCAAAATCCTTCATCAATAGGAGCCCCCAACACCAAAATGGGAGAACCCCTCGGGAACCTTTGACCCTCATTAGTGGACAGCGAGAGAACCCCCCTTTGGCAATACATGAACTTTCATCCGCATTCGCCACGCGCCTCAGCCTCAATGATCGAGGGACTCCCCTCGGCATCACCAAGATATCACCAAGGTAGCCTTCGGCCTTTTCGATTCAACAGGCAAGCTCTCAGATCACGGGTAGCCTTCGACCTTACAATATACTCAGACCAGGGGTCAACCTTTTCGATTCATCATTGGGGGAACTCGGTGCACTCTTTTCCCTCATTAGAATTTTTTCCCACAGAGTTTTTTCTAATGAGGTTTTTAACGAGGCATCCCCTCAAAATGAAACAAAAAGCGCCAGCCCTGGGCCCTACACTGAAAACAGGCACTGCTCTACTCCTCAAGTACCTTTCGGCAAAAGGAGAGAGGGACTCCTGATGGAGTATATGGCCCGGGCCCCCCCGGCCCACGGACTCCTACTACTGCAATCAGGCCCAACAGGCCCAAACGGGCCAAGCCTGGCAAGATAAAGCCCTAAGCGGCCCACGACACGCAAAGGGGTGCCTTCGGCCCCATGACCGAAGGCTACCATTGACAGAATCAAACTCAGAAACATCACAGGAGAACAAGGCGTGAAAATCGAGCCCTCAGTTGATACAACCCTCGACACAAGGAGGCCCCCAGTTAGGAGAGCCTTCGGTATAACACCCTCCAGGCGAAGGCGCTCTCCTCGACAGAATCTCCTCTCCACACGCGTCTGAATCACCTACCATGTACAACGTCACATCCAACCACCGCATTTAATGCGACCACATGCAAATGCCGACGCCACCCCGATTGAGGTGACCTTCGGCCGTTGGATGCTAGACATGTGCCCCTGTCTAGCATTTTTTGATGCTATAAATAGTAGCTCATTTCCCCATTGTAAACCACGCCAAATTCATATTGAATATATACTCTCTCTCTTACTTACTTGCTCTGACTTCTCTCTAGTTATTCCCGCAATAACCCCTCAGATACATACCCCGAGTACGTTATCCATCACTTATACTGTTAAGTGCCATATTGAGTTATATACAAATACATTTTAGATTTTAATTTTTTAATACAAACACATGAAATATACAATAATACACCGTACATTACACACATCCCATTGGCTTAGTCCGGATCCCTAGCCGACTAAGGCTAACAATTGACAAAAAGTTTTAAAAGTTAAATTAGTGATCAATTTAGGAACTAAGAAATGTAGAAGGAAATACGTCAAGAAGCTTAGCTACTTAGAAGTTAGAAGAGTTGAAATTAAATAGTGTCCTTCACATATTTTTCACAGTTTATTCAATTATTATTTTAATATGATATTAATAAATTTTCAAAAATTGGAGGTTCATAAATCGTGAGACCTTCTATATATGTAGAACTTATTGAACTCTTAAAAAAGTTTCTCGTTTCAGCCTTGTCAAATGCTCCAACTAAACATATAAAATTGATCAACTTAAAATTGATAAACATTCATCAATTGGAAAAATTCTATATTGCTGAATCTAATAAAAGACGATATACTCTAAACAATGTTTCACACTTTCACTTTCACATCATAAAATCAAAATATTTTATGTTCCGTATTAAAATGTACACCAAATTTGCATACCGACTAATTTTCGAGATATTGTAAGGATGACACCCTATCCGTAAGGATCCCCAACCTCGATCGGACGGTACGTTGTAAGATGTAAATTGGATTATAATCTCAATCTCACAGATAGAGAGTGTAGTTCTGTTCGTACTTGTAGAGGCCCTATACATTTTTAGCATAGCAACCCCTCATCGCAATTGTCGAGATTCGAATTCGGGAACTAACCTTGTGACACTCTCTTGTTACCGGTTGAGCTAAACCCACCGGTCTTTTCAAGATATTGTTAAAGTAATATTGTCTTAAAAATTTTTCAGAGCCTAAGGTATATGCAAACGTTTTCGTGTACGATTCTTTTTTCATTGGAAATATCTACGATTCAACCATGAAAATTTGCAAGAATTGGGCAAAACGTTGGACCCACCCCAAGAACTAACCAATCGTGGCTTACAGCATTCTTGTCTTCAGGCATGACCTGTTTTTAAAACACACACTGTTACCTTTTCAGTTTACTCCGTTTTTTTTATGTTTTGTGAGTTTTCACCCTTTCTCTCTCCCCATCTCTCCTGCATATTTGCTCTGGCCAGCTCTTGGACTCTAACATTTTCTGAAGAAACAAAAATCAAAGCATATCTACAATATGTAGGAGGGGTAGAGCTCTCTACCATGTGGTGATGTGGAAGCTGATAAGGTTCTTTGACTGTTTCTCTTTTTTGCCCCATTTGTTCAAATAACCCAGAATTGACTTCTGGGTGCTAATTTGGTCCTTGTATTCAATTGATTTGTCCCGCTCTTGCCTTCAATTTTCATAAGATTTAGTAGCAGTATGTTTTCATTTTTGTACTTGAGCTTTTTAATTGGAAAAATTTGACCTTTGGGTCAAGGATTTGGTTTGATTTGGGTCAAATCTTCAGGTGAACAGAAACTAGGATATTAGGGTTTCACAAAGATGAAGTTATCTCATACATGTTTTATTCTGTTTACTGTTTTTTTCTTATATCAAATTTCTTTTCTGCTGGTAGTTTAGTTTCTCTTGTTTGTTTGCTGGAAAAGGTACCTTCTCATTGTCATGCTCTCTTCTCCATCTCTCTCTGGTGGTGAGCTGTAAATGGTTTATTCCTGGGGCTGGAGATTGAAAAAGCTTTTAATTTAAAATATATATATCAATACTATATTATTGATAGTTTTGGTTCAGTTTTGTTCTCAGGTTCCATTGCTTCCCAATAGTTTTCCTATCTGAAAAGAAAATCCCTTTCTGGTTAATTTTTTCTTTTCATTTTCTAAAATGTCATAATAGTGGGTTGGTACATCTATTGCAGTTGTGTGTATGACAATAAGAATTATCTGTTTGTGTGTAAATAATCAATTTATCTTTTCATTTTTTGGCTTAACCCCACTTTTTTTTAAGTGATAGACAAATATTTCTTGCTATTGTTCCTACCTAACATAATAATCATCATCATCATGGGCATGAAGTTATAGTGTAAATTAGTTCTCATTCCAACTATAAGCTCATGCGGAAAAAATATACGGAGCACGTAGTATTGCTTTTCTTCAGTACTTGCTCATGTTGTTGTCTGTTGATTTTTTCTTCAATTTATTTACTCTTCATTCTTTATTGTAACAGAATATCTACAATATTACCAGTTGCACAGATCGCATCTCACTCCTCTACTAGTTTCAGTTCATTTCCACAGTTAAAAGGCAGAGCCAGAAGTTTATTTGCTCCCATTAAATGTTTTCTTCTATATTGATGCTGGCATATGGAAAAGAAAAACATGAATGAAGATGGTAAAGAGAGGGAATGCAAATTCTGGTATATAAATGAGAACTTTGAACCATCAGAAGGCAATAGTTTGTCTGGAAGTTTAGTTAAAAGTGTTGATCTAAGGTGGTTCCTTAACAATTTTCGTAGTTTAGAAAATAAGCTTTCAAAGCATATCACAAGCTTTGATGAAAGATTTTTACTTTGTTGCCTTGAACTTATACGCGCTCGAGCATCTAGAGTAGCCTCTATTAATTTCTCCCCAGATATGGAAGTTTTATCTGATGGTTTGGAGTCAAGACAAGTTAGTGACATCTGGATGAGCAATAAGACTGATTTGGTTGTTGAGTGTTCTCTAGCAGAAGCTAATGCTGAAAATGCCATCATGAAGTCAACTGAAGATTGGATTGTTGGTTCAATTACTGGTAGTAAGAGTATGATAAACATACTAAAGAGCCCTTTACTTAACAAACCAATTAGATCACTCGATTTTAAAGAGCCAACATATTCTGATTGGACAAGTTCTTCTTGCGGCTTTAGTACTACTAGTTCGTCCATACATAGAAAACATTATTCAATGTCAACTACAAACTCTAGCTGCTCAGATCAGTCATCTTTTGTAGCTTCTGTTATTTCTCAAGGCATGCTCCAGATCACGTGGACAAATGGTTTGCCACATTTTGTTTTTTCTATGGATGGTAAGAATGAGGTATACGTGGCAGATGTGGTCAAGGTCAACTCTTCTGATGAGAAGTGTTTCGGTTATTTGTACACATTTCGTAAAAAAACTCAACCAGCTATTGTTGGTAAAATGACAGTTTCTACTTCGTTCAAACTCTCTCCAAATAAGTCAGAGTTTACGGAGACCCTGTTTGTCATGTATGGTTTTGGCGTTGATTGTTCAGATAATTCATCATCTCCAGACCATATTCACAGAAAGAACAAAAAACTGTCAAAGAAAGTGGTTGATGTGTTTAGGCCTGGACACTCACATAAGCAAAGAAAAACTTCAAAGTTCAGTGAAAGAACGAATGCAATTCTTGAAGAATATGCGTTGGATGTCTGTAGTAAGCCTGACTTGGGTGGTATTAACCAAGAAAACCATCTTCCTACTAACTTTGAGTTGGCTGCTATAGTTGTCAGAAGCTATCTTCATAAGAAGGCAGGAAATGGAGGAGGATGGGGCTTAAAGTTTCTAAAGAAACCAAGGGGTGGGGAGAAAATTACATGTTTAGAGACCCCTATACATGCTGACGTTCCTTATCATATTAGCAGTGTTGAATGCTCAACCACGACAAATGTTTTAATACCATCTGGTTTTCACGGTGGACCAGTAGCCCGAGATGGTGGCCCTACTAGCCTGTTGGAAAGGTGGTCGTCTGGGGGGCACTGTGACTGTGGAGGCTGGGATGTTGGTTGCCCTCTGACAATTCTCAACATTAGACAAAATAGAATTGAGGATTTGTCTCAAGAAGTCAATGCATCTGGAGATTGCAAGACTATTGATCTCTTTGTGCAGGTCAGTGCAGAACCTGCCCTTATACCCACTGCTATTTTTGCATCAAAGAGTCATACTTTGCTTCTGAGAAGCACATTTGTCTCTTTTCTTTAAAAGCTAAAAAAGTGTTTTTTATTGAGTGCTTCTAACTTAACTTTAAGCACTCTGAAGCAAAAGACTCAGAGCCAGAGGAAGGTGCTTAAAACTTTAAGCACTTTGAACTAATGTATCTAAATTATTATTTTACCCAAAACTCCAACTTTTAAAATTATTTTATTTTCAAAAACCACAAGCTTTTATTTTTAAGCATATTTATACAGTAAAATGTCTCACTTCTCACAACAAGCAAACACAAGCATTGCCTTCCTCAAGTTTGTCATTAACTTTCTTTTGGACTCAATTTGGTACCCGACTATGAAATGCGGCTACAATTTAGTCATCAACTCCTCATTCATTAAGGTACTAAATAAAAAGGATATGTCTATTTCCTCACCAAGTATGTAATTTGGAGTTTGGACCATTTTATTTAATGTTGGACAAAGTACCCTCCGTTATTACGACATATGCCTCAAGACCGAAGACCAAATTGCATAGCCAATACCAAACTGAGTCCAAAAGAAAGTCAAAGCCCAGATTAAATAATAATGAATGATCAATTGACTTGAGGGACTAAATTGGGCATGCATTCCAAAATAGATTAGGTTACTTGTGGTTTCATTTTATCCTACATGTTTGAGGGTCAATGCTTTTAGTTTGTTGTTTGCAGCTACATATGTGCATTGTGAAATCTGAGCCTGTGAAAATGGATTGCTGTAATTATTTGTACTATGGTTTTACAGGGTTCGAGACAAAACGCACCCATAATGAAAATCGCAAACATCCACGATGATTTATTTTATGTTCACTTTGAACCAAACTTGTCAGCTCTGCAGTCTTTCGCCATTGCCGCTGCAATCATTCATAGTCATGAACCTATATTTCGGTCCAAAATGTACAGAAGGTGAAGGAACAACAAAAAGATTCAGCTTCTAAGGCATAGATAATACTACGTATATGGATATTCATTTTGTACATGAATTTGCATCTGATGCAAGTTTGATTTCTTTTTTGTTTGGGTTATTTCACCAAATTGTAGTTAAGTCTTGTTTATACTGTCTAGATAATATATAGAATTCCTTTGCTCCAATTGATGAAGGTGTTTATACCGTGTAAGGTCGGCGGTATATTGAAAGGGGGAAGTTTGCTGAGTTTTTTTTCCCTAATCAGTAAGCTAGCATCAACAAGATGACTTATGAAGGTGGAGAAGAAACAAAAATGTCGTTTTTTCAGCCCCACCTTGCCCGCCCCAACACAGAAGAGTGGTTGCACGAAAGGGATGTCGCTAGCGAGCGCAAAGCGGCAGCGGATGTCATCAACCAAGATTACCTTCCATCGTGCAATTTCAGTCTCGTAGATGGACCATACGTGAAGATTATTCTGAGTGGCAAGTTTTGGCATAAACGTTCCACTGTTTTAGATAGGATTGGAAATTACCTAAAGCAAAGATTCCCCGAAATCCTAGAGGTTGATATAGAAGATGAGCAGCAGTTGGATGATAGCCCTGAAAACTTTTGATTCTCTTTGAGATGAGGCAGCACTGACCCTTCCCAGTGGCATCCCATCAAACTGAACCACCTACTTGAGCTTCCAAAGCTTTGAAATATTTTGCAATTGTTATATCATCGTCATCCTTTACTGTGTTTAAGTACATCACAACATTAGTAGGGTTTTGGCCTCCCCAACTAAGAGACAGACCACCGGGTACCTCATTTTCGCATCATGGCATTCTTTGGAGTGGGCTGTGGAGTGGTTCATAGGGCAGGATGCGAGATTCTACTTTTGGAGCAAGTGCAACAGTAGTAGCCGTGGATTAATGTAATTAGAGTATCATCGATGAACTCTTCTTATCTTAGGTCAACAAGTCGAGCAGAATATTGAATGTAACAAGGCAAGTGTGAAGATACCTAATCTTGCATCATTGATTGTCCACTCTCGGAAATTCACGAGGAGAAGGATGGTTATTACTTTTGGAAATTCACGAGGAGAAGGATGTTTAAGCACAAATTGAAGTGCTAGAAATTGCAAGTCCAGGGAATGTAGTGACATCCCTAAATAATCTCATCAGTCATCACGAAGGCACATTGACAAAAAATTGAGTTTAAATGAAGTTGTGACTAAGCCCCCCCCATCCCCAAAAAAACTTAAGATTACTAAACTATATGTTCTTATTTTGGAGAGAGAAATATTTCATACCTCGTGAGAATGTGAGAGATGATATGGGTTCAAAAGTGTTGAGCCAAACTAGAATCTTGGGTGTGATCGCTCTAGTTGGAGCTAGGTATGGATTGGGTCTGGGTGGCCTGACCCGGGACCGGTTTTTCGGTACCGGTACCAACTCGGGACCCGGACCGTGGGTAGAACGGGTCGGGCTTCGGGCTTGATTTTTTGGGACAGGCCCGGTCGGACCTAATTGCTACTTTTTAAATTTTTTTTAATGAGAGGGTGAACCCGACCAGAGACCGGGATTGTTTGGGCCCAAATCGCTACCAGGCCAAATCGGATCGGTTTTGGGTTTCAATTTTTCAGTACCACGACCAGTCGGGCTCGGGCCCGACTCGGATCCAACCTTAGTTGGAGCTCAAAAAATATATTTGTGTTATGAACGGACTCAAAAGTCATCCTCTTCATTAGCACATAACACATATATATACAAGGACAGAATAAGATCAGGGCTATGCTAGTTATTGTGCTTAACCATAATAATACATATGGACATGGACCAGGCGAGTAATGAACATTCACATATTACATAATACCCACCCTAAGATATACATTGCTAAATAAAATATATTACAAGAAAAATATATATTATTCTCTTTATATGTGTTGGTGATGTTGTCTCGTTAAAAATCTTGTCGAGAAAAACCCACTGGGGTAAATTTGTTACTCATCCCCATGATATGGCTTTAGCATGCTTACGTGAAAGACCAGATGAATCTTCAATGTGCTAGGTAGGTCGAGCTTATAAGAAACTTTTCATGCCTTGCAATATATATGTATTCTCCTGTTGACTGCATCACTTAAAGACTTCTTGTACTATAATCCGGTTACCAACTCCCTCTAGCAAAAGTTGTACTATGTGTCAGCCTTATTAAAAATATGTTGAAAAAACCTTTTGAGAAAAAAATCAATCAAGGAAAAGAATACATAATTTATCTAAAACCATGTGTTATATTGACCGCTTTATTAAAAACCTTTAACTAAGAAAACCACGTGGACAAAAAGTTAGAAAAACCTTTAGTAAATGATTACTTTTAAATTCACTCTTTTGGAGAATCAGAATTGTTGAGAATAAATCCCGTAGATCCGAAAGCCCAACACGAACTTTGGATATATCAGGAATGGCACAGAATCCAAGCGTGTAAAAAATGTAAGATCTGAACTAACTAACACTCGAAAGCTCACTTGTATTAATTAACCAGTCTGATTACAAGGAATTTCCCGATCGGTAGGTCGGAAACTATGCTTTAATACAAGAAATAAGAGCAATGATGCTATTCTAGAGCCTGAGTATTGAAATGCTAACCCTTACAATGACTTGAAACCTTCTATTTATACTAATGGAGAGCATGGGCTGCCCTATGTTGATTGGTCGTTGTTCCACCGACTTGGTCATCCATGCTTCCACTTACTGATGTCACAGTCTGGCATTAATTGCACCTGGCCACTTGCGGTTTGCCGTTGCCCGAACGGGATGTTGGGCTATGCTGAAGATGCTGTCAAATTGGCCCAAGTATGATATATAGTCCGAACTCCGTTCGGTATGTCTCCTTACCGGGCCAACCCTTACTTGGGCCGATTCTCGTTCGGCATTAATTCTACCATGATTATCCTACCATCATGTGATGGGCCCGTTGCTTGGGCCGGGTATCTTGGGCCTTCCTGATCCGGGTATTGGGCCTCTGGATCAATATCCCAACAAGAATAATAATGTTTCAAGTCTTATGTGTCATAAATTGCCCCATTAAAACATTTGACCAAGAAAAGCCAATGAGACAAAACTTGGTTAAGGAAAAAGAGTACATCTGCATTTGGTCTTGGAGATCAATCAATTGTTCGACCTCACAAAGACCAATTAAAACCTTCGGAACACTATCTTTCAAATTAATACTAAAACCCCTCTTCTAGAGGATAATAGTCTTCCAAATCATTCATATATATTTCTCATTCTTTGAAAACGACAAAATACCTTGTAAAACCCTTTGCCCAAGAAAAGCCTTTGGGACACAACGTGGCAAAGGAAAAATAATAACACTTGATCTTCTGGTCCAATCAATCATTTACCTATCATGTATATAATCTCGAAACAATGGAACAAATATTACTTCTCAAGTTTTAATGGACAAAAATATGACCAAATTTGAGTTGGACAAAAAACAGATTAAAACAAATCGTCCGCCTCCCTCTGCGCTCGATCGAAGATCTTCTCCGAGATGGCCAGATCCGTTGTCTTCCTCTCAGATCAGCTCCTCTTCCATGTGCTCCACCGTGATGCTGGATTTGTCAAAGATCAGACCAAGCTTCCCCCAGATCGTCGTCTTCCCTCAAGATCGGACCAAGCTTCTCCGAGATCGTCGTCTTCCCTTGAAGATCAGACCAAGCTTCTCCCAGATCGTCGTCTTCCCTCGAGATCGGACGAAGCTCCTCTGCGCTCTACCGTTGTGGCTCTGCCGCTTCCACCAACCATCACCGTTGTTGGCCGCAGCCCCCGCAGGTGTGCTATCGTCTCTGATGCGGTCCCTTCTTTTCCTTTCTTCGTGGATGACGACATCTCCCTGGAGACAACTTCTGGTCCAACTTGGTTGCAGACGGCCAGATCTGTTCTGGTTGGTTTGGGTCGGACAGTGGTGGGCTTGGGCTCAGGGGAGTAGATTGGGGCTAGTTAGGTTCGTCAGAGTTGATGTGCGCCGGTGATTGGGTGGCTGGAGGGGGCTCTTTGGCCGGCCATAATGATGGTTGTGACTTTGGCGGGGGAGGGGTCGCCGGTTCCATATCCGCCATCCTTGGTGGACGACACATCTGACCTAGAGCCGTTGCTGCTGGCAGAGGTGCGGTGGTTGTATTCCTTGATGTTTGACCTGGTTTTTTCATCAAATATATATAGTTGACCTGATTTTTGGCGCCGTTCTTCTGTTTATGTGTGTTTGTACATATAAGTCTATATTGTTATCATTCTTGATGTTTTTGTTATTATAATTAGACGGAACTTCAAAGGGATTTGTCTGAGTTGTAGAGAATACTTTTCTCAAAAAATCCCATGTACATTGAATGAATAGTTCGTATCTTTTGCAATAATATAGGAAGTGTGTTTCTTTGTTGATGGATAATTAGAAGCTTGGAGTCCTTCATAAAGGTTATGCTCGGCATTCCAAGGGCCAGTGGTTGGAGCGGTGGTCCGCGGTGATGCTCGGCGGCGGCGCTACGATGAGGTGGACTGGGGACGGGGTTGTGATGAGAATGGGAGGGATGGATTGGGATGGCCGGAGATGACATGTCACTGTGGTCGGAGACGGCGTGTCACTATGACCGGTGGGCGGTGACAGTCACTGATCGGGGGTGGCAGTAGTCACTGGACGGGCGGTGGCGGCAGTCACTGGACGGGCAATGGCGGCAGTCACTGGACGGGCGACAACGGCCACTTATTGGAGCGGTAGCGTCAGTCATTAATCGGGGCGGTGGCGGAAGTCACTGCACGAATGGTCACTATTTTGTCTAATTTCAGTCACTAAAATTGCAAGTCACTTCATACTAGTCATATTTTTGGATTTTTGTTCATGTGATCACTTTTTTGTCTTCAAGCCTTTATTTAGTAATATTCATAAAATAAGGCCTATAATCTCACATTATACGGGTCACTAAAAGTTAGCGTATACTGGCTAACATAGTCTCTTAAGAACAATATTAACATAGTCATTTTGTACAAGGAGTCACATGTTTGTCTACCTTTAGCTTGGTAATATATACTTTCACCTTTCCACGAAACGTAGTCAACTTTCACGTGAAATCATATAATAAAACTGTGCGTTTGAAATTCATGCGGAAGAGAGAAATAACTCTAACCACTAATTTCTTACCTTGAATGAAATTGACAATTTTTTAGAATGACTAAGTAGGGAAATTTGGCAAGATTTGTGGGATGGAGAGTATTTTATTACTCCCTCCGTCCCCCAATTAAGTTACCAGTTTGACTTCACACACATTAAGAAAATAAATTTGACTTTACTGTGGAGTGCACTGTTTTGCACTGTTCAAACACTGGTTGACACTGTTTTGATGTAGATAATTTGCCAAATAAGAAAAGTAAGGAAGTGTGAACTTAATTTAGGTATTGCCCAAAAAGAAAAGTGGTAACTTAATTTGCTGACGGAGGGAGTATTTCATAAAATAAAAAATATATATGGAGTAATTATAATAGTAAAAATATAAAAAAGCTTGCCTGAGTCTTTCAACAACTTAGGAAGTGTTTGCAAACGCTTAAAAAACGTTTTTCAGCTTTTGGCTTAAAAAAGCTAAAATTAGTGTTTTTAAGTGACAACTTCTATTTAAAAAATTGCTTCTTTGTTTTTGTCTGAAAAGTGCTTTTACTGTTTCTGTTACACAAAAAGCACATATTTTACCAAACACTACCAACTTTTACTTTTTCAAAATCACTTTTTTCCAAACACTATTAACTTTTACTATCAATCATTTTTTCTAAAATCACTTCAAAAAGTATTTTTTAAAAGCAAAAACATATGCAAACACTCCCTGACTTTTGTGTCTATAGTGTATAATTTGATACAGTTAATTTGATATGAATTGAGATAAGAAATACTAATAGAGAATTAGAGATTATGATCTATTTTTAGGATTGAAAGTTTGAGTATAGTGAATATCTATTATGAACTAATGACAACTATTTATAAATTCTTATTTCTTAAGTGATTACATACACTGAGAAATGATCCTATCTAGCACTCTCGTGTCATTAGTTCAAAAAATGAAATTTATCCACAAAAAATTTCACCTCAAAATTCATTCAGGAAGACAGTCAATTAAATTTTGAAGTTGACTGCGTTTTTATATGTATATTTTGGAGCAGTCAACTTCAAAAAATAATTTGACTGCTTTTCCGATCGAATTTTGAGCTTAAATATTTTGTGGATAAATTAGACTTGATGAGGAACATGTTCAAAAAAATTCATCAAAAAATTTCACCGGGAACCGTTCCAAATGACGGTGTTCAAACGACATTCGGAAGAGGGAGTGCTGGACGGGATCATTTATCTACGTGCACTTACATAATGAGCGGGCGAATCAGAGCGGAACAGCATGAATCGATATTAATACCCGGACCCGCCTTGTTGTGTTGGCGGGGCAGGACGGACCCATCCCATATGCAAGACACTATGGGCCTGCACCGCTCAAATGCCTAATATTGTATCAGTCCACCCTCTAAAAGGCTTAAAAGGATCCGGAAGTCCAGAAGCTAAGAAACGAAACCCTAGCCTTGTGTATATAATAATGTAGCATATACTCCAACCAAGTCTTCCCAATTTTCCAAGCTCAAAATGTCTAAGCGAGGTTCGTATAGTTTTACTTATCCAATTGTTATAATTGATCGATTTTGTGCATACACTCATCTAACTGTTGTTCGATTATGAAGGGCGCGGAGGATCGGCCGGGAACAAGTTCCGTATGTCGCTGGGTTTGCCGGTGGCAGCAACGGTCAACTGCGCCGATAACACCGGGGCTAAAAACCTCTACATTATTTCCGTAAAGGGCATCAAGGGTCGCCTTAACCGGCTGCCGTCAGCTTGTGTGGGTGATATGGTCATGGCTACAGTGAAGAAGGGGAAGCCTGATCTCCGGAAGAAGGTCATGCCTGCTGTCATTGTCCGTCAGAGAAAGCCTTTTCGCCGAAAGGATGGAGTTTTCATGTACTTTGAAGGTTAATTCTCATCTCTTTATTTTCTCCTTCTCCCGCTTCTCGTGTAACAACATCTTGAGTTTTAGCTGGTGGTTAGGTTGTGGTCTAGCATTTATTCTGCAAATGCCTAAGATTTCGTCATGTTTGACTGTTGTTTATAAAATCTATCACTACTAAGATCGCTACTTGCACTATTTATATGAATTATAGATGTTATTCTGGGCAATGCATACCATTTATAAATAGAAATCGTCATGGCAGGACGCTCTATAGACCGTAGATAACCGCAATTGATTCTGGATCTAGCGACTTCTGTATGAATTTTGAACAAGTTTCCACCTGTTCTTCTTCAATCAGATTTCCTTGTTTCGTATTGATTTTGCTGGTAATGTAGTGTTGAGAGAGTTCATTCTGAAGAATCTCCATACCTCCCATGACCAGCTAAAGTTGAATTACCGATCTTCCCTTACACCTTGGTTTGATGTCTTGTTCTAACCACGTTATTACCTGCAGAAGTTCGGGAAATACCTTTATTACACCGAGTAACCAAAATGTATTACTCATGGTTAAATAATCTTTTTACTTGTCTGAATGTCAGACATTGTCAGGTATTAACCAAACTAATGGTTCGTGCAGTTACTTGTCTGGGATATAAAAATTGTCTTTCGTTACAGGAGTGCTGATGATTCTCATGCACACTTCTGTTCCATAAGACAAGACATTAATAGTACCTAGTTTGTTATCGGTGTATAATATGGTGTAGCAGATTATGTGTAATATATACGCCTACTATAATTTCTTCAATCAATTATTTCAACTGTGAAAAAATGAATGCTATTGTTACTTCAGATTAGTTAGGCATTGAATGTTGCGTAATAGCAATATATCAGGTTACTCATAGCTACATCCTATTCTATTTGAGAGGATGGCTGCTTCCAGACTTTGTCAGGTAGTAACCTTATTTGTGGTTAGTGCAGTTACTAGTCTGGTATATCGATATTGTCTTTCGTTACAGGAGTGCTGGTGCTTCTCAAGCACACTCCTGCTCCATAGAGACCAAACATCAATAAAACCCAATAGTTCTGAATTTTGATATTGTTAATAGTTGTTGTACAGTTCTAGTGCACTGCATTTTGATATAAAGTGCAATTCATAGTTACATTATTTTATTCTTTCAACTGGTGATAGAATCATGCTTTGCTCGTCCCTGTCAATATTTAAAGCCGTTAGTAAGCACTAGCTAAGATTTTAATGATATTCTGTGCTCTCCATTGAAGTTGTTTCTCTTCATCAAATAAAACTTGGATGCAGTTTGACGATGCTAATGTAGTTTTTGATCATTCCTTTAACAGATAATGCTGGCGTCATAGTAAATCCCAAGGGTGAAATGAAAGGTATGCAATGGTAGTTCGTAATTATAAAATTTGTTATGCATTATCTTAACTGTATTTGACTTCTGATATTAATAATTCCCACAATGCTTTTGTATGGCTTTACATTCCCACAATAAATAGCTGATTTATGGTGCTTTCTTGTTGGTTTAGGTTCTGCAATCACTGGTCCAATAGGTAAAGAGTGTGCTGACTTGTGGCCCAGAATTGCGAGTGCAGCAAATGCCATTGTCTGAAGATGAGATTGCTCGTAAATGTGATGTACTTCGGGACTTCGTTTAGTTTTCATACTCCGTATTATTTAATTGCACAACTCTTCAATTCAAAAATACTTCTGAAGTAAAATGAACTCTGAATTTTCAACACTTAGCCTCGTTTGGGTCTGTTTTGTAATAGAATGCAAGGATTAAGGAAGCACTTCAAAAAATTTTGTGTCATACTGTAGCATTCGTGCATTATGTTTTGGTTTTCTGATCCGATTTTTCTCGTTATCATCAATCCTCTTGAGTTCTTTGATTTTTTTATTCAATAAACTCAATATCTAATTACTAATTTTAGTAATTTAATTTCCTAATGGAAACCTTGCCTGTTATTACTGTTGTAACAACCACACTAGACCAACTTTAGTCCATTAACAATCGAGGTTCTGTATTTTAGTTTTCCATTGCACAAATCAGATGTTTTTACTCTAATTTGTTTGTCTGGTTTGGTCTGAACGTAAATGTGTGGTCTGGTAAATGTTTGGTTTCTATGTATCTGGTTTGTTCTTTTTTAAGTAAAAAACATCATAAGAAATCATTAACACATTAATACGGATCACAAATATAAACAATTGATGACAAGTACTACCTCCACCTTGTTGGAAGGTTCCCACACCAAAATGATACCATTATTTAGACGATAATTAAATAAAGTATATATTATAATAATTTTAATACTTTGATAAATAATTTTAGTAGGTATATATTATAATTAGGGATGGATTCGGTTCGGGCCACCCAGCCCGTGACCCGGCCCGGCTCGGTACTGTGCGGGCCCGGGATCGGCCCGGTCGGGCGGTCCGGGACCGGGTATGGACCCGAACCGGTGGGAAGGGGCGGGGTGGGCTCGGTGCTGGATTATTGTGACCTGGCCGGGTCGGGCCCGGGTCTGGGTCTAATTTTAATTTTTTTTTGGTTTGGGCTACTAGCCTACTAGCCGTTGAGGGTGGGGCTGGGGACAACCCAAATGGCTATATAGCCGTTGGGTGGGGTAAGGGGGGTGGCTGGTGGGGGTGGGGGGTAAAAAAACCTATAAATACTCCTAATCTTAAACATTTTTTCATATCTCTTCTCCAATTCTTCCTAAATCCTATTCTTAACTCTCTACTCTCTAATTCTCTTATTCTCCATTCTCCAATATATTATATTTATTATTTATAGTTTATATTAAATATCTACTTATATAAACTATAAATAGATATAAATAGTATTATATTACTTATATTTGTTATCTAATTATATATTACTTATATATTTATTATATCTATTAATATAGTTGGAATTGTATCTAATTAATTTGAAGTCATTCTATTACTCCCATCCGAAAGACCGAAAATCCGAAAGAGGTACGAAATTATTCTATTATTTACACTTGTTTAATTACTAGTTATTTTGCTACATTTGACTCTTGTTTAATAGTTAGATAAATAGTTAATTAGTTTTTTACAATTTTTATTAATTGCTACATTTGACTCTAGTTTAAAAAATATGTTGTACACAAAACTAGTTAATTCACTACTTAATTTGCTATAACTCGAATTAATAGTTAGATAAATAGTTAATTAGTTTTTTACAATTTTTTATTAATGGCTACATTTGACTCTAGTTTAAAAAATATGTTGTACACAAAACTAGTTAATTCACTACTTAATTTGCTATAACTCGAATTAATAGTTAGATAAATAGTCAATTAGTTTTTTACAATTTTTTATTAATTGCTACATTTGACTCTAGTTTAAAAAATATGTTGTACACAAAACTAGTTAATTCACTACTTAATTTGCTATAACTCGAATTAATAGTTAGATAAATAGTTAATTAGTTTTTTACAATTTTTTATTAATTGCTACATTTGACTCTAGTTTAAAAAATATGTTGTACACAAAACTAGTTAATTCACTACTTAATTTGCTATAACTCGAATTAATAGTTAGATAAATAGTTAATTAGTTTTTTACAATTTTTTATTAATGGCTACATTTGACTCTAGTTTAAAAAATATGTTGTACACAAAACTAGTTAATTCACTACTTAATTTGCTATAACTCGAATTAATAGTTAGATAAATAGTTAATTAGTTTTTTACAATTTTTTATTAATTGCTACATTTGACTCTAGTTTAAAAAATATGTTGTACACAAAACTAGTTAATTCACTACTTAATTTGCTATAACTCGAATTAATAGTTAGATAAATAGTTAATTAGTTTTTTACAATTTTTTATTAATTGCTACATTTGACTCTAGTTTAAAAAATATGTTGTACACAAAACTAGTTAATTCACTACTTAATTTGCTATAACTCGAATTAATAGTTAGATAAATAGTTAATTAGTTTTTTACAATTTTTTATTAATTGCTACATTTGACTCTAGTTTAAAAAATATGTTGTACACAAAACTAGTTAATTCACTACTTAATTTGCTATAACTCGAATTAATAGTTAGATAAATAGTTAATTAGTTTTTTACAATTTTTTATTAATCACTACATTTTTTAGATGAATCCTCCTAGATATTCGGTTGATATGGGTAACCTCGAGCGCAACCGAACGAAAGAGCTTGCGAGGAAGAGATCCCGCAAAGGTAAATCACATATCGGCTCTTCATCTCAAAGTCAAGATGATTTTGATACGCGTTACGTAAGAAGGGATGAGGATGCGATGACCGACGAACAACTAGAACAAGAATTGCACCGACATAATTCCCGCTTTTTTCAAGACCAACCGAGGACCATTGACGAAGAAGAGCTCGAGGACGAGGACGACGATGTGGAGGAAGCAATTCCGAAGAGCCACGACGACGAGGACGAGGACGAGGAGGGTGGCGGCAGCCATGACGCCGACCAAGCAGCCTCATCCCAAACAGGTACAAAAAAAAAGTAAATCTGAATTAATGGCTAATAATTTTTCTAAGTGGAAGGACCCGAACACCGGGAATTGGACCGCAACTTGCAATTGGTGCAAGAAAAACTATAGCTTGGGGATTTCCGGCGGATACGGATCCGCCACAAGACACCTTAAGTCCAAACACCCGGTGGAGTATGCAAAATTAGGCGGCGGAACGGGGAAACAAACGCAACTATCGAGGTTTGCCAATAACCAACAAGCTTTTGGTAATTTCTCATACAATGATGCACAAAATTTGACTGGTATGGCTAACTTACTTGTTGAAGAAAATTTGCCTTATTTGTTTTCTGAAAGTCTTGCTTTTCGTGATTATGCACAAACTTGTTTAAATCCGCAATATAGAGGTTATAGTCGCAAAACGGTTAAGAAAGAAATTTCAAGGCTTTATGGTGCGGAAAAGGTAAGGTTACAAAATTATTTTGCAAACTTTGATGGACGTGTTACTGTATGTTCTGACATATGGGAGGATACTTATCATAATTTACATTATTTGGGTCTGACTGTAGATTATATTGATAATGATTGGCATATGCATAAACGTGTTCTTGTTTTCCGTGAATTTAATGATCGTCACACCGCTGAACATATTTATATTTTGATTGAACGTATTTTAATTGAGTATAATTTAATTGATAAGGTGTTTGCTATTTGTTTTGATAATGCTACTAAGAATACTGCTGCTATTCCTAGATTGCGTGAATTGTGTGGTTCTACTTCTTTGATGGGTAGATTTTTTCATCAACGATGTGCATATCATGTTCTAAATTTATGTGTGCAAGATGGTCTAAAAGCGTTGGGAGCATCGTTGGAGGTAGTTAAGGGGGGATTAGACGTATTTGGGGTAATGGACAACTTAGGAAAAAATGACATGATTATTTGATAGAAAGAGGTGAGAGATATGTGGCTTTTCCAAAAGATTTGTCTATTCGTTGGAATAGTACCTATAAGTTAATTGGAGTTCTTCTTAGATATAAACAACATTTTCCTGCTTTTATGAAACAATATGATAACTATATTATAAACTCGGTTGAGATCGACACCTGTGAAAAAATTTGTAATGCTTTGATATATTTTTATAATGCAACTGAGACTTTTAGTCATGTTTATAAACCTACCTCAAACCAATTTATTCGTGAAGCTGTTAATCTCGCCGGTGTTTTTTCAAATTTTGAGAATGTTGATTATGTGAGTTATTTTGCTGGTTTTATGAAGGAAAAGTTTTTAAAATATTATTCACATATTCCGCATATTTATGGTATTGCATTTGTTCTCGATCCTCGTTTTAGACTTGGTTCTTTAGAAGAATGTTTGAATTATTATTATGCTGTTTTTTTGGGTCCATTACCAATATATGAGGACAACCCAATTGATCCGAAAAAAGAATACAACGAGGTTAGTGATATATTTTATGCATTATTCAATGAGTTTCATGCACAATATGACAATGCGCCCCCTCCCCCGACACAAACATCATCTAAAGGAAAATCAATTTTCAAATCTACGTTTGCCAATCTTATTAAAAAAACAAAATAAACTCCCGCTACACAACAAAGCACAATTAATGAGATTTCTTTGTATTTAACTTATGATGTTGATATTGAAGAAGATGATGATTTTGACGTACTAAACTGGTGGAAGGGAAAAAAAAGAATGTTCCCGGTTTTAGCAAAGATGGCTAAGCAAGTGCTATCAATGCCGGTTTCAACGGTTGCCGTGGAACAAGAATTTAGTTCGGCCGACAATGTTCTAACACAAACCAGAACGAGGTTGAGCGCTGAATCTCTTGAGATGCTTATATGCTACCACGATTGGTTGAAAGCAGCTCGTAGAGCTCAAGAAATTGACATCACTCCATCCCAACACTTTATGGATGAATCTACAACAGAGGGTCGCTCTACCTATGCCGGAGATTCCGATTAAAAACAATTATATTTCCTATTTAATTTTCAAATGTAGTTCCTATTTCATTTGAAATAAATGCACTTGAAGTTTGGTTTTTAATACTTGTATAAAACTAAAAAGTATAAAATATAAATTAAAAAAAAAATATTTAACCGGCCCGGCCCGGCCCGGCGGGTGGCCCGACCCGTGACCCGGGCGGGTGGCCCGGCCCGAACCAGACCCGTCCAACCCTCGGGCCGGTCTCGGGCCCACTATTCTTGAACCGGCGGCCCGACCGGGCTTAGGCCCGGCCCGGGCCCGACCCGGCCCGAATCCATCCCTAATTATAATGTATTAATGTAGTTAGTATTGATAACTCTGATCTTATAAATATATTACTTTTAATTAATATATTTAATGATTAATTTGTCACTTAAGATTGTTAATTTT